GGTAGATTTTGTATGATTTTATCAAGGAGCTCTTGAGCATGTATCAATGTATCTTCCATGCCCGCTTCTGTCTGGGGCGTTCGTGGTCGCTCTGAGTCCCAGCTGCCAGTCCATATTCACTAATAAAACATACACCGAAATGCACAGCGTAGCTAACCTGCGCTTCAAAATCCAGGGCAGATGAAGCATCCCCGGAAGCATCCCCGCCCGGAAGTTCGTTGTCGCAGGTGTTTCGAAAGGCGCGCGCGTTGTGGCCGCTGTCGTCTGCAGACGCAGACAAGACAGTGGTGGTCCGAATCTTGCCGAAGACTGAGGCTGAGGAAGGTTTGAAATCGCAACGGCCACTATTGACAATACGAACTTTCCGTTTACGAGAGGTGCTTAGGGGGCAACAGGGTCTTCGCAGATCAAAGTTGGGTTGGTGGTGAGCAAGACCCAACCCGCCCAAACGAGTGCCTTCTAGACACCTTGAGCCCTTGCTTCAAAGCAGCCTGATGCTCAACTCAGGAATTGACGTGCTGAAGGACCGGGGGCTGGGATGTGAAAACCGAACGCGACATTTGCTCAAGCTCCTTCCCAAGGTTGAGGCTTAGGTGAGACCAAAACCGTACTGCAAGTTCCACACATGGTCGAGCTGCCTATCTCTTGCGCAGGCAGTGCCTTCTGAGGCACCATCGGGTCACCCCCATCACTCCATCAAGTAGGAAAGCCACGAAAATGTGCCGAGTAGACCTACAGCCAGTGACGCTTGTTGTCAGCCTGTGGCAGGACCTTGAAGCTTCCGCAATAGTCGGGACAGAAGGCAGTGGATGGGGTGAGTGGGCTTGGGACCATGATGCAGGACCCGAGATGCGACACCTCTCCGGACATATATGCTCTCCTCAATGCTTCCAGTAAATCCCAGAGCCAATATCAACAACACTCGCCCCGAAGATGAAGCATCAAGTCCCGCTCAGCTCGTCCAGTTCTTCGATGTGTCCTCCTCAAGCCCAGAGCCTCATGGTCCAATCGAGCATCCGAATCCAGGCATCTTCGTGCTCTCGAAAAACAGTGCTCGAGATGGGCAGGCACCTCCTGCAGCCCTCGAGAGCCAGGGTTCGGGTTTAGTTTAGATGGGTTTAGGCTCAGGGTCAGCCCTGGTTATCAAGAGCTGCAGCACTCCTACCCGCCTCACCCAGTCCTAAGCCGAAGACTGAACCCAGATCCCATGTCCCATAAACGTGCAAACGGCTACCGCGCAGAACACGGTCTAAAACATTCTTCGAGATGCTGCGCATTCCGAACACTGACCGACGTGTCAGTGTCGTCATCGCAGCAAACGGCTTTCCTACCCTGATGATGCAGCAACGTCCCGCGGCCCTCAAGACAGGCAACATTCAAGCAACAGCTGTCGCCGAATCGTCAGCTCCACATGCTCAAGATCTCCTCGCTGCTACACTCCTGCCCGACGTTTAATGCAAGAACTACAGTACAAGCTGGGGAAATAAGCAGCGCACCTTCCGTACTCGCAGCTCAGCAGGCCAAACGGAGTCGCCGGGTACCCCCTGTATGCTGTGCAAGAATGACGGGCACTGCAACATGTCCTCTGGATACATGGTACAACATACGTATGTCTATGGCGGCAGAGCATCATCTCCATAAACCACACTCGTGTCGGCAGTCGCTGGGAGGATTGCCTTTGTGATTCACTGCAACTGTTATATAGATTAAACCAAACCTTCTTCCTTTCCCGAAACTTGAAACCCGCAGTATTGAAAGCCTGGGCAACATTTATATAGATTGAATACTTACTTGCCACCGTGCTTCAAGCTGCCTGCTACCCCTGAAGTGTAAGGCTGTAAGGCTTCAAGCCAACGTGAGATTCCTGGAAGGTTCGGACGATGTCGCCCGAGGAGCTGAGCCGGTTGGACTCCAAGCTGTGCCTTGATCTCTATTTGGGAGTTTCCGAAAACAGGGGACCCTAATGTAGTAACCTAAATAGTAGGATCCTTGTACAAGGACCCCAGAGGCAGGTACCCCTAATCTTCGGAGGTCTCAAATTGTGTTGCGTCCGTAAGAGTTGCAGCCTTTGAAGTTGGGGATTTGCTTTCGAGCTTTATGTAAGTTTCCATTCAAGGTTGAGGGTTTAGGTCTTTTGGGTATTCAAGGCTGAGCCCTAAACTTCCATGCAGAGCTTCGAGTTTTCAGACTTGAAGGGCCCGACTCTGTGATGCAAGCCCAACCTTCGGCCGTGCAGCATCTAGACTAGAGCACAAGGAGAGATTCAGAAATGGCTGGGGGCTCTTTATCCCGTCGACGCATCCGAGGAATGCAGTGCTGGCCTTCGGCCGTGCCTGCGGCCTGAATCTGCCAGGCAGTGCGGGTCATTTTGTTCGCTGGGAGGTTTTGGGTTTGGGGCTTCGGGGCCGCGCGTCGGATTCAATCTGAGTTCGGGGGATTTCAAATTCAGGAGGTGCACCATACTCCATACCTTTTGCTGATCTCGGGCGCGGGGTTGTTCGACCTTGAGATTGGGCTTGGGCCCGGGCTGCGGGCTGCGTGTCTTAAGGTCGTTTGACGCATGCAAGCATGGATCAACCTTCGGAAACCTTGCCCTAAAGCGGCATGGCTATCGGGAAATTTGGCTTCACATGGACTTGCACGGGTGTGCGAAACATGTATGCAAACACATACAACACAAATATTCATACGAGACTTATGTGCATATCTTTATTATACAGATAGATAGACATGCAAACTGCCTGGACAGGGGGTGGTCTCCCGCGGTCTGCGGGCTCGAAACTCTCGCTGAGCTGAGTGGTCAGTACTGGGGCTTCTAAAACAATCGCAGCAAGAATCAAGCAGAAGTGATCAGAAATACTAAGTTATTTCACCATGTGCATACATCAAGACCAAGTCTTGATCAGAAGATCGAACTGTGTTCACGACCGCTCTACAGTAATCCTTCCAGGCGACGACCTCGTCAGGACCAGCCTCCGGGCGGAATCTCGACCCCGCACAAAAACACCCTGGTGGCGCGGTGGAAGATCCGATTTGGGGCTTCAGGGCTGAGGGTGTCCAGCTTAAGAGTATACGGGTGTCGAAGGATTCAGGGTGACTTTCAGATTGCTGAGCAGAATGTTTGTGCTCTGGTGCGTGAGCTGCAGGCTCCGAGCGCACGATTTTAGGCGACGCGGCTTGCGTTACGAGCTCGAGGGTGTGAGTGTACTGGTCCCGAGTTCGGAGCTAGGTGTTTCGTGCCGTGCCGGCGCTGACAAGCTGGTATGTTCCAACCGCCCCAAATCGTGAACATAATCGTTTGAAGGAGATTATCAGATTTCCTCGAGACGAGTCCTTGCTGCTGGAGTCCCAACTCTTCCTAGTGGTAGGCCGACGAGCAACCAATAATGGAGCAGTCGCAACTCCATTTGCTATGATGGATCCTGCGCCCCTAAACCCCAAAGAGATCAAAGAACTGCCAAAACCCTGTAGAGTGTAAGCCTGCAAAAGCCGGACCCCCGCGAAGGTATCACGTCATCACCCGTTTTGCGAAGACCCGTTGAGCGCAGCATCGAAATGGGACCGTGGATGTGGGACATGACTCACACTTCCTGTCCCAGGGAAAGTAGTAATGCTACAAGACGGCTGTGACCGTTGTTGTGGGACATGACCCGCATTTGCTGTCGCAGAGAACTTCTGAAGAAGCTGCAGGACGGCTTTAACATGAGAAACGAGTGCAAGAGTACGACGTAGAAACCCCGACGAATAAGGGCTCTGTGCTTCGCTCCCGGTTTCCAGTCATTGCGAAATTGCGAAGTTCGAGACGGGCATCACTTTAATGTGATCCCCGCACCAGCCAGTCTCTTCGCTGAGCGAGGGGACTTATCCTTGAGTGCATCGTGAGTGTGAAGGTTTGATATTGCTACAACTACTTCGCATGCTCATTGAAGGTCAATCCCAGGAGCTTGAAGCTAATGAAGTGACTGCAGAAAGCACATGGACATTTGCATAGGCGCAAGCGGATCGTTTGTTTTGTATCCGCAGAGGTGATGTGTATGTATGTATATACAGTTATACTCACGTCGTTATTTACGTAATTCTTTACACATGTATATGGGTATGTATGCGTTTGGATAGATGGCATATTGTTGATCACATTGATCGACACGAACTTCCGGATTCGCGTGCACTCACCATGAGCGCCTTTGATTGGGTTTGCATCAGGCGCATGCGCAGTCCTGTTTGGCGGCCGCTCGCGCAACACGGGGTCACTGTAGGCTCGTTTGGAGTTTTTGACATGTAGGAGATACAGAGTTGGCAGTTTTTCCGGCTTATACACAATAGTTACTAGATACTTGCGATGATCATGCTGGGACGGAGGTGAGCATTGCAACAGGGACCTCGTGCTGCAGCGATAAAGGAAGCCTCGCCAAAGAATGGCCACAAACCCTTCGGTTGCATTGTAGGTGTTGCAGTGGTCTGTCTCGGACAGCTCTACATCCCTTCCCTTGTTCTCCAGGTCGTGACATCTTAGGCACCACCAAGGTGGTAATCATTGAGGCTTAGGAGTTTGTGGGCAGCTGCACAGCTCTCCGCAGACCGCAGCCCGCAACAAAAACAAGCGATTCGCTGGGAAATTGTGCCGGGTAGGCAGGGTTGAGGGTGCGGAGCATGATGGCAGCTCAGAGGCTTCGGCGCTGGACGATGACAGCTCGCAAGAGGATTTTCTCTCTGATCGTGGATTGGAATTGTAGTGGAAGGGAGAGGAGGCGTCGTCGTCGTCGGACCAGCAATGGCTGCTTCTGCTGCTGTTGCTAATGTTGCTTTTGCGGTGGCGGTGGTGGTGGTGGTGGTGGTTGTTGCTGCCTCAGCTCCTGCACAAACTTTGACGACGACTAACTGGTGCAAATGGGGAACATACTGCGCTATGACAGGGCTTGATGAAGAACAGCTTCGCCTTTAGCCCGCTGACCCAAACTGCGCCTGTCGATTGCATGCACATCGAGTTCTTGCTTGCCCAGGAACAACAGCCAAGAGGAATGGTGGAACTCGATGCCCAGGCTGGTTCATCACGGTTAAGCATCAGCACGTTAGCATCGCAGCATGCACGTTCGCCTCACACCACATCGCACTCCCCAGCAGCTGGCACCGCAAGCTAAACGGAGGGTCTTGACACAAATCTTCAGACACTCTCTTCAATCTCAACAGCTTTGAGTGAGTGTGCTGCGGAACCACTCGTTCAGGTCCAAGTCTTGGCAGGCGGGTGATGAGTCTTGGACGGCAGAAATCGAAAGTTCTTGTTGCATCAGGCCCTCTTTGCCCTCAAATCTCTTCAGCTTTCTGAATCTATCCTGAGGTGTTCTGCTGCCGGCATTCGCAATCTAGGATGGCCCTGTCGGTAAGACCCCTATACAGAAGTTTGCACGACACATCAAGTCCAGCGCGTCATGTTACCGAACCTATGGGCAGCTGATCCAAAATCACACGGAATCATGACGACTAGCTCAACTCAGCTTACTTGAAACATGTTCCGAAATTCCGCACGAGAGCGGGGAACCGTTGGAGTGTTTTCCTGTCGATCGGGGCCGTCCAGAAGCAAGTACCCATTTGTTGATACGGTCTTGTACAATGGCTCTCTCGCAGACGTTATGCTCATGCTGTCGGCATTTTTGCCTTAAAGCCGTGGGGCCCTGCGACCTACCTACCTGGTTGCAGAATTTAACTGCCACTTCCAAAGGCCTTTCCCCAAGAGGCAGCGCCAGCTGCTGGCTTCTTGGCACAAGCTTGAGACAACCTTGATAGATGGGGATGACAGCTCGAAGCTTCCAGACTCGAGCTGCTCCACCGACGCTATTTGCAAATATCTTTGGAGCTTCGAGGCTGCAGGTTCAATGCAAGTCTTGGTCCTCAGAATGTCAGGCAGAAACTAGAGAGCTGCACGTCTCGCAGGTTCCCTACAGATTCTACTGCCCTTGAGCTCCAGCGTCCCAAACCTCCAACAATCTGTAGACGGATCCGTTGCGTATCATCATGGCTGCAAAGGGCACCTCACACTCTGATATTGGTTCCTTTCAGTTCATTGGCTAGCAGTGTTTTGCGGATGCACAAACGTGTTGAATCGCCCAGAAGCAAGATTAGCAGACTCAAATTTAGACACGTGCTTGCCATCGATGACAAAGTAAAGTTCCACACCCAAAGTTTTAATCCCCTGCTCCAGCCCTCATCCGGCAACATCTGTTGTATGCACGGCGACGACTTCCTGTTACCACGAACTTACAGAAGATATGCTGGAACACTCATGGCCCGCCACGGATATCAGAATGCGACCCCCAAGGCCCCCAGCGCCCGAATCTCGAACTGCCCCCCAATGACGTGGAGATGGGCTGAGGTGACTGGGGCCAGGCTCCTCGGCCTGAAGACTCTGAACATGCGATTGCTGTGCCCGCTTTTCGAGCCCAGTAAGACACAATACTAATAATTGTAAGATGATTTCACGGTCTATGTTGACATGTCGGGCGAACCTCGCCCGGCTTGTAGTGCCGGCGGGGAGAAGCAAGCACTTGCAGGCCCAAAGCCCGCAGGGCGACTCGTGGAACAACCAACGATGGAACGACTGGGAGGGACAACTGCAGAACAAGCGCGGTCGGGCCGCTAAGCTGCAGGAGGAAATGAGGTTCATGGTTACTTGGTTCTGTCTTTGTTGCGTTGAACTGAACACCCGTGTATTTGGTACACATGTGTGGTGCTTGGCATAAGCTGCTGGCTGCTGCACGAGTGCACCCCACTGGCATCCGGAACTGCAAAAATTCAAACGCTCAGGGAAGATGACATGCCTTGGAAACCGCAAGGGCCCACGGTTGACTCCAGACCCTGAGGAGATGAGCCTGGACGGATCATGGCAGGCACGAGTTTTGGAGTGTCGACCGAGCCACTGCCACGGGTCTTCGAAAGCATGTTTCGGGGACCTCCGGCTGTTGGAGTTTGTCGAGTCTGGAGCCAAGAGCGTCTGAGCCCCAAAACCGAACACATGCACAGCCTCGAGATCAGGAAACTTGCAACCCGAGTGGTCTAAGTGTCAGGTCATGCGCACGGCCTAGGGCAGCCCTATTGTAAGTAGTCACGAAGATGGCACAGATGCGGCTGGGCGCCGGCAGACGTGCCAGCGCTGTGAGCGATCTTCGCTTGTCCCGGTCTTGCGCATATTTACACATTCATTGATTCCAAGCACCACCGAGTTGAGTTGGGACCTCTGGGGCCAAACTACTGCAGCTCCGACTCCTTAAGGCACCACCACACCCCGTTCTCACGCAGCCCGAGACCACGACTATCGAACCTGGGAAGCCCTGAGACAGGCAATGGACGGCCGGGAGCCCTTGAAGAGACAGAAGCAGGAGATGCCGGGGCTTGTGCAGACAGAGGCATTAGCTTTTGAAACTGGTGGGGTCATGTTGCAGCTTCCTCATGTTGAAGCTCCATTCTTGATCCGTGCCGGTCTTTGCAGGGGGTGAGGTGCGATTTGAGCCGGTTGCTCAGGGTCGACCACTTCTGGCATGCGTGTTTTGAAGGCCCGACTGAGGTCATGAGCTAGGCATGCGAACTCTGTTTGAATTTGGGAATGTGCAATCACCCAGATTCTAGCATCGGCTCTGGCCCGCCTTCCCATCGGCATGGTGCCCGGGAGGATTTTGGCGATTCCTGGATGCGACCGCAGGATTTTTGGCAATGACTGGGCTTTGGGTCGTGAGTCGTTCATGCAGGAACTGTCAGGCCTGTGGAGCACGGCAGTGGATCCATCTTTTCTTTGTTGCAGCCATGGTCCATACCCTCCCAAGCGCTGCTCTGTGGGCTTCCATCGAACACCACTCAGGACGGTCTGGACAAGCCGGGCAAGAAGGAGAAGAAGGCGGCCTGCGACTCGAAGAGCTTTTCGTCGTACTCTATCATCCCTGATTCGTGGCGCAGTTGCTAGACTTGCTACATCCTGCCCCTCGTGCTTGCCTAAAGAACACAGCTCGCCCAAGTAGCAGTGCCAGGCAGTTTCTGCAATTACTTCAGCTACAGCGCCCTACATAGAACAGGAGAAGAAAGACAAAGCTGAGAAGAAGGAGCGAAAGACGAGCATCTCAGCTGCCATCCACACATTCCTTGTGCCGGGCCATCGGGTACGGCCACGTAGGATTTAAGACCGATGCTTGCCAAGCGAATTGGAACCGAGGAGGAATCCTAAGGTTACCGGTAGCCCCTCAGAAGCTCTGAAAGGAAGGCGAACGGGTACACACTCCGGACTTCTGAAGGGACGCAAAACGAGGAGCTTTTCCGCCGAAGCCCCGACCTCAATGCAATCCTTCGTCATAAGAAGACGGGATGGTGCAGAGGCTCTGACTTGATGGCAAGTTTGGGGGACTGATCAGGCCATCCATCTCGATTTTGGGATTCGGAGTGTTAAACATACCAGCCCTCAACCCGGAGGTTGTAAGAACAACTTTTTCGGGGCTTTCAGATTCCCAGGAACTGGTCGCGACCCGCCTGTGCGGCTGCACGGCAACCTTTGGGAGGCTGGGCATAGTCCAAGAAATCTGCGAGTGTACTTTGAGCGGCAGGGATCCAGACTGTACATTGCTGAGAGCCGCTGCGCGGCAATGATGCCTTCTGCTCTGCAGCACCGAACTTTCTGTAAGCGTTAAAAGCCCGCACACTATGCAGAGAAACGGGCAACGTAGTTCCGGCTGGCCGCCGCTAGCTGCTGTATAAGTTCCTGTCTCCGACCCTACGTAAGCTCGCTTGGTTTATTCGACATAGAAAAGCGGACCTTGAGGTGCCCAGACAGAACATTGGTCTGCAGCTCATCAAGGACGGAGTCAGAGATGATAGCATCGACACAAGAACAAGTGCAGTGTCGATGGTTCGACTTTTAGTTTCATATTACTGCCACCTCTTCCCCTCGTTTTTTGCTTGGACCATGGATTGAGCCAACTGCCTGGCTTGTCGGAATATATGCCACGCAAGGAAAGGTGTCGCGTCATGACACCCAAAGGGGTGCCGAAAGGTGCCGCGAGAAGCTTCGCAGCTTCGAGTAGAAGGCCCAACCCGGTGCCCTGTCTTTACGTAGGTACTAAACATATTGGGGAAAAATATTTTTCCCCAATATGTTTAGAGCAGTAGGAAGCAATCAGCAAAGCCAAGTTCTGTGCTGTTTGGGGCAGGACCGCGCAGACATGTACAACTGGCAATACCCCTTCTGGGATGACTCCCGGCGCACCTTGACCAGAAAGGAGGCGCTTCGGGAGTAACAACATGGCCCCAGCGCGGCCTGTATGTCTGAAACTTTGTGTGGTACTTCGTAAAGACTTCAGTGCCCTGGGAAGCGTACTTCTGTGGTGAAGGGGCAAGACGGGCTTAGACCGCTCAATGCAAAAAGAACTTATTGAATGACCGACGACGGGACTGCGGTACTGTAGGACTGTAGGAATGACGAGACGAGATTGATAACCTTAACAGAGCCAAGTCCTTGCCCCAACGACAATCTCGCAACAAGCTTGACTTTTTTTCGAACGGCACTTCTAGCTGAAGCTGCGGCATGTGCTCCTTCTGACGGATACCGACACCAGCACCACCAGTACCACCAGACTACTACTACTACGACGACGACGTCTACGACGACGACCACCACCACCACCACCACGAGCACCACTACTACAGCTGCGTTTCTTTACCGTGTAGATCTATTGCTACTGTTGCTATGACTACTCAATACCAGTGCCTCCTGCTGCCGCTTTTGAAACTCCTGCGTCTCCTCCCTGCTCTCGCAACTGCTGCTGCTGTTCGTGCTGTTGCTACTGCGATAGTGGTACTCTGCCACTGTAGGAGATGCCGAGATGCTGTGGCGAAAGCAGTAACTAGCACCGTGCCAAAGGATCGTACTTTCAGTAGTTCTCGACAGCGTAGTTAGAACGCAGAAAAGTTGTGGCCGTAGGTTGTGATAGCAGTGGGGACAAAGGCGGCGATGTTAGCAGTGAGTGTGATAAAGCTGAACTTCAGAACAAGCAGGATGACCATGTAAGTGTGCACTTGATGTCGATTTCTGTTGTATTAACTTGCGCAAGTCATTGCACCTAGCGCGACTTGTACCGCTAATCAGCCTATTTCACCGCTGCCTCGCCACACACACCAAGGAAGTTTCGCTGGCCTCCTTCGATCGCCCTGGACCCCACAGCAGTGCAGCCAGTGCCCCGCACATTTTTGTGTGGAGTCTAGGATTTAGGGCTGGGTAATTAGCTTGTCACGGAGTACAGGCACATAGCAGAGTAAAAGCGGGCTTTAGGTTCAGGGGTAGAGTCGCGTTGACACGGTTTCGAATGGGTGACAAGTGTTTGCGATGAACTTATCGAGCACTTGCGACTTGCAGACCCGATGAAAGCCTGACGGAATTGACATGTCGACTCCTGAAACTCATGACAGGACAAATGCCTTGCACGGCGGTGCATTTCTGGCTGATCTCGGGCTATGGCTTGCTTCATGCATTGTCCCCGCACTACGCAATGGCAAGCGCAGTTTTCGCAGTCACGCACTTTCGCGCAAGGTTCTACACCATGATCCAGAATGGTACGAACTGGATCCAACCTGTTGGCGAGAAGGCTTTCTTTGAGATCAGTTCACCTGTGATCGAATCGACAGCAGTTGCATACAACTACAGTAAGTTGAATAAAACGCATTGCTCGGCTTGGGAAGAGAAATTCGCATTGTGGCCATACCATGGCACCATGGCCTGGCGAGCCAAACTGAAAGCTCAAGCTGTCATGCTTTTGCCTACCGAGTGTCGGCGCAGAGTTGTTGAATGGGGCCGAGAGAGGTTGCACACGAACCTGTCCGAGTCTGCATTAGTTCACGAGCTGTCCGAATAGCAACGTCTTTCAGGGGCCCATGCCGCGAAAGCAACCTGGCTGCAAACCAGTCTTTCAGCACAGCTTTTTGATGAGGTAAAAGCAAATTGAAGCCGTTGTCAGAACGCCTCTGCCCTAAGATGATTTCTTGCCGACATTTAACTGTTTGTGTTGCGCTCGGCCTTCTTCAGCTTTGCATTTGCGCGACAATTGCGTCTTGGATGTCTGATTTGCAATTGCTGGCGGCTTCAATTTTCCGAAATTTCGATTCAGAAGGTGAACAAGCATCCCACTCTGAAATAGCAACCTCTCGTGGGGAGTTGCTTACACTGACATACTGTATGTACTGTGTACCAGCGCTGTACAACCCGAGAGATTTGCAACGAACCTTCTGGCCCGGAGGCCTCTGCTTGGGTTCCGATTCTAGCGGCTCAAGTCTCAACTGTGCGTTGTGTAGTGCCGTAGTCAGCGCCTTTACACGGAAGTCTGGCTTTGACTTCGAGTGCAGGGAGATCGTCAGCGTGTTCTCGAAGTTCCCAAGACAACTGCAGAAATAGGCAGACATGGCGGCTAGTGCAGGAAGAGTTTCCTTGCTGAATCAATTAGCAAGAAGCCGTCCATGTGAGTCAGCAGACGAAGCATCCATCAGAGGACGGCATGGCTGGTGAGGAAGGGCTGCGAATGCAGCTACAGGTACGGGCCCTTCGAGGCCTTCGGTCTTGCCTTTTCCAAGCCCGGAACTTGGGGTGCCTTTATTCGTGACCGTATGGCTCCTGCTACTGCTTCGCATGTTACTGGGCCCCGTGTTCCATTGCTGCCAATAGACACAGATACTCTTGTGGTTACTGCTGTATCAGCTTGTCAACCACTACTTGGCAACTACTGCTGTTCCACAACTGTACCACCCTAGCCACTACCACTCCACTACCACTGCGAATGCAACGTCGACGACGTCGACGAAGACTACAAGTAGTACTGCTGATCCTGCCACTACTTCTACTCCTGCTACCGCTACTACTGATACTGCTGCTGTGCCTAGCATGCAGGTCCCACCGGCAGAGTTCCCACCTTGGATGGTCCAATTGATGTCCGAGGCCGGAATAGACCGGACGCCCCAGGAATAAATGGCGTTGACAGTGCGGTTGGGAGTTCAATAAACGAAGGTTTTCAGACCTTCTTGGTCGGTGTTTTGATGTGGGGCTTCATTACGTCAGAGGGTTGGCTGTGAGGTATCAGCGGTTCAGGCTTCAGTCTGAACCGGGTATCATATGTCACGGCATGTTTGGGTCGTGCGTGACCTAATTTAAACAAGATGGTCATGTTAACATTAGTATTGCAGACAGCAATTGTTCCGCAAGACAAGACCAGCTGACCCTCGAACATTTAGTGCCTGTCTTGCCTTGTCCGAGCATCATGTGGCTGTGCTAGCATTGCAAGTTTGTGGGCATGCCTTGCATGTTGTCTATGGCCCACACTATAGTCATGAGCGTTTGCGTGGCACAGAAATCCAAATCCAAAACTTGTGCGAATCCGACGGTTTGAACTCAGTCGTGGGAAGATTGCAGGGAGGTTTGCGGCTCAAAGTCACGACCTGAACGTGTAGCAGTGTAGCGGATCAAGATGCTGGTTTGGTGCCACAGTTCGTGGCGGCGGGGTCATTGTAACAGTACCGTAACAAGCACCAGACAACTTAGCGTCTAGCTTAGTGAGATTGTAGATCAAGATAAACACATGGCCTCTGCTTGGTCCATCCCTGAACCTGTGCACACCATCCGCTGCTTGTGCCTGCCGTCTTTGGGGGCCCGTGAAGGTCATGCCCTTCTGTGGCTTCACGAGCATCGGCGAATGGCCAGCAGCTAGGCTTCCAAAAGAACACTCGGCCTGTAGATTTCACACGCCACAGAGGCCCACTAAGCCTGGAAAGATCAATCTTGAAGGTTTGAGCTGCTAGCTTTTCCGAGCGGACTATTGACTCGAAGCTGTTCATATTCTCGAATAACCTCGACTTGCAGCGGGGCAACTGGACTTGAGTGCTTCGGGTATTTTGGTCGACTCATGTCAAATCATGCTTGCGGCGGAAGACGTTCTGTTTGCATATACAGGTGCGTTTTCTTTAGCAACAAATGTGCCTCAAGGAGCTTCAGGCGATCATGAACTTCAGGCGATCATGAGCCCGACTGTAGCATGTTGTAGAAGTGGCACCCTTTGGAGAAGCGATGTCAGCACACAATGGAGCTGAGGGTCTCGAATATTCCAATCGCGTGTTGGGAAGAATGCCGCCCTCTACGAGTTACGAATTAATTAAAGGCTCGGGTATAAGATGATGCTCCAACTGTGCTCACACAGCAAACCAAGCCACCGCAGCCGTGTTGAACGCAAAAAGTCCAACGATATCAGTGCTTCGCCGTGACGCCTCTCAAAGCAGGTGGAGTTTCTTGGGTCTGACAACAAGCCTTGACAAGCGAGAGGTTGCATAGTTGAGGACTTACAAACCAGTCCTGACGAAAACAAACAAGACTTGAATGCTTCGTGTTCAAACCTACCGGCATTGCAGCCGGCACTGCGTACACTAGCTCTAGAAGAGTGATGATGACTTTAGGCTTTAGTTTTGGAGATCAGATGAGATTGGTTCCCGCTAGGTTCCTGCTACTCTCTAAGCAGGTACAAAACCACCATTTACACAACAGGCTTCGACGACTTTGCTCTTAAGCCCTGGTCGAAACATAGGACTGCTGCAACTTGAACCTCTACACGGACGGAGCCTCGACTGTGGGCTGGCACTCAGACGACGAGGCCCTCTTCCAAGGCTGGGAAAGGTCTGAACTTGCAGGGCTTCAGGGTCTGGGAATTCTGCAGAGCTTAGGGTTTAGACGGGTATAGCAATGTCGGATTTGCATAGTCGGCCATGGCGCGTTTGGGGTCTGCAGACTTCCTGTCAGTGAGCTTTGTCCCGGTGCTGGTTGAGATGAGTACTTCACTCGTCTTTTCAGGGTTTAGGGAAAAGGGCCTGTATCGCAGCTACGCGTGCGGCGTCTTTTTTCCGGCAAGGACTTCACAGCAAGGAAGCAAGAAGGGGTTCACGGGGTTTGAGGACCTCGACTCCTTGGAAGTTAAGCAGAGCCTAAAGGACAGTGGTGGCATATGGTGATACCTACAGCTTCTGTGACGCTGCTGTTCAAGAGCTTAAGGCAAGTCTCTGAACTGGCGAGGCATGGCGCTGCTTCTACATTGCCTCAATTCCTGCCCACTCGAACATCCCTGGAGCATCCCTGCAGTCTGTAACCCCTGTCTTGGGAGATTTGCAATTCAGAACGAAAGCCTTTCGAGAGGTCGATACCAGGATATCACGATCATCTCCATGTCCCTGGGCGTTCCGAGGAGCCTGCTGCACAGTCAGTCTACCTTCGAAGTTTCTTTGGTTCCTGCATTTGGATTTGCAGGGCTCTCTGACTATGATGTCCCGATCAAGTACAAGTTTGTCTATCAATAAATGCGGACTTCCCACATTCTTCCAGAGCACAGGCGGGCAGCATGGAGTGCGACTTTCCCCTGCAGAAATACATGAGTCTTGTTGTTCGTCATTCTCAGATGTTGGCACGTATGAGTGAGTATGTATATATACGCATACAGACAAAAGCAACTACACAAAACATTTACAAGTATCAGCAGAGAAATAAACAACTAGATATGAGTGTGTAGGCTTTTAATGCATACATTTATAATATATACATATATAGAGCTCTGAGTCACGTACGCACACATGCTCTTTGGTGCCCTGGGGAAAAGTCTTATATGTTTATTGACCTGAAAGTTGCTTTCTTTTTGTACTCCAATGCCCAGGGTTCATTGAAACTAGTGTTTCGATTTTGGTTCAAAGGGCGCACAAGTGTTTGATGAACATAGGCTTAAATGTATACAAAGATATGCAGAACCAGATGCACGTCACAGGCGCGGCCCCGCTCCCAGAAGAGCACAGAGTGCCAAGTCTGGGGCCACAAGATAGTACACGATGGGCACACTCTCAATAGAACGCTCGGCACATGCCAGACTCTAAGTGGCACAGCACTGCAGTCCCTGTCAAGCTATAGCTACGGTTCATTCCATCTCCACGCAGCCCGTTCATTCTACACTCTACATGCCATACGCACCACAACTCCTAATCGCTTCAACAACCGCAAATTGTAGCGCGCACCTGACCGTTCTGACCAACGTTTGAATGGGTACTGGTCAGTACAATCCTGAGCCTTAGCCTTGCCGCATGAGATTCACCGAAGATGCTCGACGTTTGGTTTATGGCTTTTGAGGGGTATACCACTGGCATCTAACATAGTCTGGACGGCCGTGTACCGGCATACAACGAAACCAACATGTGTCGGGTGTTCACGTGTTTGTGCTCCGCATGGGTGACTCGCGGCCTTTGTCTCTTTGTTTTTGTGGGCTTGCATGTTCGCATGCCTTTTATACTTTGTTCGTGCCTTCTTCGTTCATTCATTTCCCTACAGGACATTTGAGTTGCGCTACCTCTACCCGGAGGAGCATGAAGAAGCCACTCGGCTGTAATGCCTCGTGGACTGGTGGAATCCTGGAAATCCGGAGGAGGAATCTTGAAACTTGGAACGTTACAGAAGCCTCCGTTTACTGCTGTGTGTCAGGCTGGAGCACCTAAACAGAATAAGCGCGTCGGACCAGTAAGTCCCACACCTAAACCAAAGGAAGGCAAGACCAGGACCAAGTTCGCAAGCAGGGCTTCAAACGTCCTTAAGAATCAGCCTATCGCTGTGGTGTAGTGATTTGGCATATACGTATTGCACCCTGCACGTGGCCCCTGCACGGAGGAGTTACCTGTTTTGATCGGAGCATCCGAGTAAGTTCTATTCAGCCATGTAAAATGCAGAAGCAGCGAATCGTTTGATAAATCAGTTTCTGCATGAAACGACACCTCCGCACGCGGAGTTTCACTTAGGACACCCTCATCCCGTCCGTATACAGAGCCCATACTGACTCGACCGCTGAACCAGAATCGCGCAGTTGTCGCTTCGTTGTTAGTTCGATCTGAACTTGTCCTTGTGTCAACAAGCATGCAACTCCCCTGATCTCATAGACCCGAACTGCAGCCAGACGTGCCATACTCACCGATTCTGTTTCTGGCAGGAAATGCCGCATTGGCATAGCAGTACGAGTTGCCATCAGGAACCTAGTCGCGGTGGCATTCGCCTTTGCAGCTCCCGCTTGGTGACTTCATGTCCTTCCCCTACAGCCCTCATGGTAGACGCACAGGTAGCTAGAAACTTATGTTGCGGGCTTCCGCAATGCATAAGCAGCCGTTGGGTAGCATGATACAACGACATCAGCTTATAGTCTGTGTGGGTACACCAAGAGAATCCCACAACTCAGAAATGACATAGGAGTGTACAGTTTCAGGTCCTTCTAGAGCACACGGTTTTGCCATGTTTTCGGTGGCTTCGACGAGGTTTCATTGTCATAGTTGATGAACCTATACACCCTTACCTGTACACTAAGCCCGCACGCAAGTGGAAGATAATGCTTATCATCATCAGGACTTTAGCAATAGATCTCGTCGTGTCAGCCTGTCCAAGCTGCATTTCCGGTTACTTCATTTCAAGACCATGTGCACGACAACTCCATTGCAACCTTTTCAGGTTGCCATGCTCCAACCTGAACTTCAATGTACGGGCAGTCAAATGGGTCAATACCATAAGAGCGTAGTGGTAGAGCACCCGCTTGCATCAGCCATGCCCACAGTTCAGGAATTGATTTGGCCGAGTTGCATCACACACATGCTTCAGACTGCTTTGGGGCGGGTTCGTGCCTCTCCCCCTTTAGACTGCGTGCAGCAGGACAGATTGGCGAGCAAGAGCCTGTCTCTGGCGCTCCGGCCCTGTGACGATGAAGTAGCCCCGCAAACACACTCGAACGGAAATCCCGAAGAAGGCTTAAGCCCAAAACGCCGATCTCCAGGACCGTCAGCTTTCCTCTATACCCCAAGCTTCTCATGAGACTTTGAGCCTGTCTCGGCTACAAGAGCCTCCCGAGGATCCTCAAACTAAACTGACAGATGCTACTGTGGGGTTTGCTTCAACCGGAGAATTGGACCATCCACTGCCCTTAGACCTCCTAGAGTCCTAGAGTCCCGAAGGTCCAACCAACCTGCACTAAACCCGGCAACCGCCACACCTTCTTTTCAGTACCCTGTGGTTCTCAAGAGAGCCTAAGAAGCCGGACTCCTGAAAAGTCAGAGGCAGTGCTCCACCGCTTTGTGCTCGGAAGCGGAGACCTGATGACCATGGAGGGCATGGCCCAGCTCCTTGCTTGTTATGATGAGCAAAGCACTTCTTGGTTGCATGTTTGTGTTTTCCCGGCATCCGAGTTAGTGTTTGTTATTTAGGCTTCAGGATGAAGTTCGGATTTCAGGGCAAGATTACAGAGAACTGCCGCCAACACCCGCGCTCTCAGTGATGAGTGAGGCTTCAATAGTCGTCCCGAGAAGGTTTGTAGTTCCGAGTACTTCCCGAGCCCCCTTGCAAGGCAATCGCAAAGGCTTTAAATACAATGCTACCAGCGACACTGGCAGAAATTGACATCATGAGCAGAAATTGCGATGGCAGAATATAGTAATGATTATGCTGGAAATCATAATTAAAATTATCAGCGATGCAGCTAGCAAATGGCACTAACAAGTTACAATGATTTAGCGGCCATGAACCCAAATCAGAACACAATACGACTGAAATATAAACACTGCTACGAAGCGTGCACTATGGCGGCTGTATGCCGACATGCAAACAGCATGAGCAAAATGGTCGCACCAGCTTGCTGTATGAGTGATTCGTGCAAGCCTTAGCGCCCTAAACCCCTAAAGTCCAAAACCCCGAAGACCCCAAACCCCTTTTCGGTCTCTTGAGTTGCGAGAGTGTAAAGCCCTGAAAAGGCCCCAAAGCCTCAGAAGCTCCCAGGAAGCACACGCAGCACCGGGTCCCCAAAGAGCCGGCCTTTGGTGCACGGATCAACCTGACCTGGCGTTGGGTCGGGGGGCTCTGGGGGCTGGAGGATCATGATAGTTTGTGGTTTAGGGTTTCGGATTCTGAGATGTTGGTGGTTTGAGATGGGTTTCCATGGATGTTAGGAGGGCTTCTAGGAGTTCAGTGTGCCGGTTCAAGCTTGGCACAGGTTCTGGGATTCTATCTACGGTATTTGAGGCTATTATGCAGGAACTGGTTTGAGTGCTGGGATGGCAAGGGATTTGCACAAAGCTTTCTTTTGCTTGGCTGCATACTTCAGTTCGGTGTCCGACACTGGTGAGATTCGGAAGCACATGTTCGGTGGCACACGTCGCACATCCAAGTGCATGGTCCAAGCAATGCTATGCACAGAACCGCAGCCATTCTGCAGAATGCCCGATTCTTTTGCTTCCGCCCAGGTCCGAAAGCACCAGCCGCACTGCCCCGCGGGGCACGCTTGGAGATGAAGCTGGGACGGGCAAAGTCCGTCATGCTGCCACTGCGGAATCTACAGCAGAACTACATACTTTGTGGCCGAAGCCGGATCATGCATTACAGCTTTTAAAGCTAGTGGCTTTGCCCATTATGTCCTTGGATTGGTGCTATATGCTTCGGGATTGGCGAGATGTGGCACGTGCCGACCGGGAACCATTTGGACACAAAAGCTTATCGCACCCAACAACAGGCACCAATGTTGTTGAACAGAGTGGAGGCAGCAGCTTGACCATGTCACTCCTAGCTCAGTATCGCGACGTCGGTCAGCGCAGAAGTCGTGAAGGAAGACCGACGTTGCTTTGCCCTATGCAGGGCGCAGCTCTACCACAGAGTGGCACCCAGCTTGTGGCCATTTCCCCGGTTCAGCATAGCAGGCGCCAAGTACATACGGGCCGCAGTGGAAAAGCAAGAAAGATGCTCTTATAAACCTTATAAAAGCATTTTAATTACGGGCTGACGCTGCTGTTGCAATGCCGGCGACTCTGTCTCGACAGCAAGTGCCTTATAGGCATTTTGCTGGAAGCTTGTAGGTTTATAGAAAGGGTAGAACTGCGAACCTGCAGAATGCCGAACATAGCAAGTGATCCGACAGGACCATGAAGTTTATCACTGGGAGCTCTAGCCTTCGAGGGGCCAGGGACATTTGCTGGTTGAGTTCGACAGATTTCGACAGTAGCGGCTATCCAGCACCGACGACCTAGATTCATGGCATTAGTTCAGGTGTTTGGGCAACTCGACTCAGCGGTTCGCGTTCTTTCCTTGATCGTCGGCGGGACTTCTGTGGTAGCCCGCTTGCCTTTGATCCCGAGCCTGAAATAAAATCGTCCTTCGTCTGCCGTATCCAGCGGAGATGGAACGTGATTAGTGGTTTGGCATTGATGAGCCAGGCCATGCGTCTCAGGTACTTGAACTTGAGGGTTGCGATGACAGCTGCCGAATATTTTTTGAGTATTCGGCGAGAACTAATTGGGCTGACTAGTTTGGATAGTTCAACCGTGACCTGACTCGTTGCATACTGCTCTACCGGCACCAAAGCCCTAAACCTCCGAACCTCCCAGCGGGCTTCACATTGCCGGGTTGGACGGACTCGGACAAGGCGTGGCGCGGAAAAGCGTGCAGGTGTTTGAGACTTCGTCGGTAGGACGTCAACTCAACACGTAGGATGTCGAGGTATTAGAAGAACAGACTGGTTTTCTGTGTCCATAACTTTAGAGCGACAGCTTTTTCTGGTGATTCGTCTTATATATATATATATATATATCTATCTATATATATATATATATATATCGCCGCAAAACCGCCATGTTTCGCTGGCACCTCCCCATTCGACCCGGGAACAAGGCCTGCAGCCATGCCACTTCAGGCCCATGGAGCCGTAGCAGTTCGTGCCATTGTAGACTTCCTTTGCCACTTGTGAGATGCAATCTGTTCTAACATCGTGTCCAAAACCTACTAGCAAGCCGTTGCCCTCCCAGCTAGCTGAGGTTTTAGACTTCGGGCATGCCCGAGCGGTCCGTAACTGTCAAACTTCACGATCTGAACTTCAGCAGCACATCCCAGCTGCAATTTGATTAAGAGAGAGAGCGCTGGCGAAAAGCGCAGCTGATGTTGGCATGTCGCTGGCCGCTTTGCCGCTTGCTTCTGTGCCGGACCCTGAAGCTGGTACATGGTCGAACTCTTGTGACTGTTTCGCATGCCGCGGGGAGCACCTTCTCCAGTATGGTATGCTACAGCGGGATTCGGCTATGCGTGCCACTGGAAGGCAAAGGCACAGGATTGAATCGTAAACATTGAGTATACAGTGTTGGGAAACTGCGGATGCACGAACGATCGATCGTAGACCAGGTGCTGGGAGGTGGAATTAGCAGGGTCTAGTAGTGGTGGTCGGGGGCAGTCCATCCGAGACAGGCTTTGAGTATCCCACAACACTGAAGATGGTGCCGAGCTTCGGTTTGCATGTTGTACTCCTGCACAGGGCGGATGTGGCAACTGACGGGCATCAAAGCATACCAACAAGCTGCAGAAGTGTTCGTCTCGTGAGCCCGAATCACCACTCGATACTGCCTGAACCAGAAGCAGACAGCAACCCTCAAAAACCGCTACGAGGCCTCCTTGCGGCCACCTGCCATGGACAGGATGCCACCTTCGCAGAAGGCTGCGGGTTGCAGTCCAATTTCAACCGCAGCCGTGAGCTTCGCCAAGTTTGTTAGACGGAGAAGCGGTTCGTTCCCCTGCGACAAGCCGTGCACTGAGGATGCGGCTCAAGAGATTCCCCACGTAGTAGTGGCCAAAGTGCCGAAGGATGGCCATGGACCTGCCACCCGAAGTCGTGCAAGGCGAAGTAATCGGAGTTCCGCACATTGAGATGGCTCCGCAGCAGTGCCTCAACTTCCCGCTTATTACTCTACACCCGTGTGTGGCTGTGAGACACGAATCATGAAGTGCAGGTATTGTTTTACCAGGTAAAATCGACACATACAGCTACAGGTGTACATACATACATACATACATATACACTCATTTGTAGGAGGGATAGTTTTCAATATGAGCCACTTGCTGGGTGTGTTAGGCATCAATTATGTAGACATGTGCATAGAGCTAGAGAGATCGACAGATGGATGGATCGAGAGATCGAGAGGGATATAGCTGGTGGATGCTAGACGTGTAAATACAGAGCGAGATGAATCGATATCGATATATACATACATATATATATATATATCGATACTGATATACATATACATATATATGAATATATATATATATATATATACATACATACATACACACATGAATACATATATATATATATATATATATATAGAGACATACATATATATATATATAGAGACACCTGAATTAAAAAATATGTATATTCGGCATTGATGTAGATATTATGGATATAGATAGAGACTGTCCAAGATAGTTAGAGGTAGAGATAGGTCAGTACAGGTAGATGCAATTGGATTTAAGTATGTATACATGTATGTGTAGATACGTACAGGAAGATACAGATACGCAAAGACACATACAGTTGGACATATAGATAGACATAGTGGTATAGGTACGTAAAGGTAGAGATAGGTAGGTAGATATAGATATGCACTTATATTATGTATATGTGTATATAGATGGATGCAGATAGATATCGATAGGTACGGGTGTATACAGGCAGATGTAGGCAGATGCAGATAGATAGACATAGAGAGATATAGGAAGATATAGATAGACATGGACATATAGACAGATAGATAGATAGAAAGACAGGCAGATACGTAGATCGATAGATCGATGGATAGGATAGACAGACAAAAATAGGTCGAAAGCTAGATAGACAGGTGGATAGGTGGGTAGACAGGTTGGACAGTTCGACAGACGGATAGACATGGAGACAGAAGATATACAAACAGTACATACAAGCAGCAGCAGAAGCTCCAGATGTATGACAATGTAGGATGTAGACAAATCTGGCGTATGATGTGGAGTCAGAGATACTGTAGGGAGCCGGATCACGGGACAAGAACATTGCAAAGCATGCGAAATACATCCACATGACGAATGGCAGCTGAGGCCGACCCTACCATTACTTGTGCACAGTAAGCATAAATTACAGCTTCTGTACACATACTGTGTGCACCGGTACCTTCTTACCTTCTACTTCTGCATGCATGCAAGCATGTATCTTCTTGCTATGTATGTAAGCATTTAGGCACGTGCATTGCTCTGAATGTATGTTGCAGGTACGTAGTCATTCCCGCTTCTTGTGCTTGTGTATCGCTGAATGTTTATCTGTGCTGTTGCTTCTTTGTGTTTGTGTTTCATTATTTGGTCCGTCCAATACTTCCTGTTTGTCTTATCGACAACCTCAAGCAAACCTGCATTTTGTATGGTTTCTCGCACCTGAGTGCTTGGCTGCAAACACACAGAAGTCTGGTGAATCTTGCTGCACTCTGACGAAGCCTAGGCAGGACATGACGGGCATGGGCATGTTGCAGTCTCTCCTAGAGCCCCACAGCGGGCTGATCGTGAAGCAGACGATGCGAGGATGCATCCAGGAGTGACGTCTGTCGATATACGCTCTTAAGATAGGCCTCTGTAGGGGGCGGAGGGACTGTCCAGGTGGGGCAATTGACTCCTCTATGCTGCGGTCTGGCAAAGCTCTATGAACAACTACAGAGCCACTTCCCCGATGTTAGACCTTCAAGAGTCCAAGGCTCAGATCAGCCCTTCCGCAATGGACGCGCGGGTTCCCCTGCCCCAGATGCGTGTACCCAAACGATGGATTCATGGAATCCTTGTTCTGATGGAGAGATCTAAACCCTGCCTACACTTCCCGATCCCATGGAGGAGTGTTTGGGGTGCGACGCCAAATCTGAGTCCCTTGCCGATTCAGAGTCTGAATTTGTAGCATTGAGGCTTGCTCTCGGGTTCGAGGTCTTTCGCAGGGGTCCAACGTCAGAGCAACGCAGAGGGCTGCATGCTTGAAGTTGAGTGTGTAATGCTCAAGACTGGGAGTTGTCATTCATAAATAATCCCTTCCCCCTTTTCATAAGCACCCCCTAATCATTCAAAAACACATTGGGGCGAATCCTCCCGAAATCATCCCTGCCCTCTAAAACCTATTCTGAATCAGAGGGGAGGGTTTCGAGGCTCCAGATACCCTTAGAGCACACAGTAAGAGCGAGAGCAACAGCAAGAGCAGGAGTCAGAGCAAGAGCAGGAGCAAGAGCAAAGGCAAGAGCAAAGCAAAAGCAGAGCGGGAGGAAGAGCAAGAGCAAAAGCGGGAGCAAGACGCCAGAGCAGGAGCAAGACCACGACCCCTCAAATTCAAATATCCCGTGACATTAAAAACACTTTCCGAGTTTCCATGGGTGGGGGGGTTCGCCCCCGTTTAACCCCATACAGTATCTTGATTCCTCCAAATAGAGGCACTTTCTCTTAGTTTAGGAGGACCCCGACGTCCGAGGTACAAGATCGCGCCGCTAGACCCAGGTGAGATTCGAGGCGAGCTCGACACGAGTCAAGTTCGAGTGCTTTGGGGTTTCATGTCGTTCTGGGTTTCATGTGTTTAGGCTTTGGGGCCTGTAGGGTTTCAGCATATGTGGCTTCAGTTTTGCTTGGTGGTTTAGTGGGCGGGCGCGACCGCCCAGGCGGCCGAGATCCTTTAGGTATCCTCAGTGCTAGTCTTCGCTTTCAGTCTTCACCCTTCGAGAGCTGGTGTGCTTCGCTTGGACTTCCACTGCTTAGGCAAGTGAGGCTTTCAAATTTATCGGGAACTGAACGATTACAGCTTCCAGGTAGGAGCGGTGAGTTCAGACCAGGGCCTCAGCTTGGTTTGCCCTGAGCTCTCGGGCTATCCACTGGTGCAGGATGAGGACCCGGGCTTCCTTGACACTTCGTGCGACGATGTGTAAGAGGTCAGTAAATTGAAAACCGCCCTACCCATCAACAGTGGCCCCATTTTCAAGATCAACGAGCGGATGTTCCAACATCCCGCTCAAAAGTGGTACTGCCACGTGGCGCAGGGTATGTGACAAGGTCCACCGGTTTCCATTTTCCACTGTTCTTCGTGGATGAAAGGGCTGCACCAAATGAGGTTTGAGCTTATGTAGGTCTTGTATGAGAGAAGATACAGTGACAAGCACCGGGGTTCGTTGATGTGCCCCGACACCGAAATGACAATCTCAACTGCTTGGGCAGACTGTCGCGCATACTGCAAACTCGCAGCATTCTGCCCTCCGAAAAGTCCTGTCCCCTCAACTGAGCAGGGATATCTCAGACTGCCAAACTGCTTCGCCTCCCGGTAGAATGGCACCTGCGAACAGGTGATTCGGCATCCGATCATGCCCTAAGTGTTCCGGATACTATGTCCCTTGGCCGAAGCCTTTTCGGAGCTCGGATCAATGCAACGTGGCCCTGCAGATGCTAAGTTCTTGGTCCGACTTGAGCACTGCGTCCCAGGCATGCCATCGAGGAGTCGAACTGCTGCAGCTGAGCTGAAGCTGGACTCCTTGCTAGTGCTTTCGTTTCAGACCTCGGCCCCTGCTTTGCCGTGAGTAAGACCCCGCAGGATCCCAAACGAAAGCAAAGCCTGCAATTCCTTCGACGCCGTAAACTAGAACCCAGTACTGGTAATTGGGGTTGAAACTCGGGCCGTTGGAGCCTTGCCTGCTTTCTGCAGTGGCGTCCCTTCCGTGGGACCTGGTAAGCTAGGCAGGTGGCAACAGGACGACAAAATGCCAAAACAGACTAGAACCCAGATCTTGCGATGCTAATATTGCGACACAACCCGGGTTCGAAGGTTTCGAGCTTCAGAGACCCATACATGCTTAGGCTGCCGAATCTGCAACCCGGCCGGGCGTGGCTTCGAGATGAACGTCTCCCAAGGCCGGGATGATCACCAGAAGTTTGGGCGGGAGGAAGGGAGCGAGAGCTTTGTATTGTCGGAGCCTGGTCGGTTGCTATGTGGGTGGGTTTGGGCGGGCCATCGGTACCAGGCGGAGCAGGCAGGTTGCGGGCAGTTTTGCAACTTGCAACAGTACGCCACACTCTAGTACACGAAGACATAAAGGCAAGCACGAATGCTGCTCGTACTTGCAGACCTTGCAGACCGGATCTGACCATAAGGGTGTGCAGGACAGCATATAGGGTACTGGAACAGCGTGCGCATACATCAACTGCATGCACAGGAGGTCCCGGAGGACCACCCGTAGCGATGCTTGGGCTGCTTTGAGCTCGAGGTGCAAAGGTGTGCTTACCTGTTTCGTGCCGGAGGCCGAAGGTTCAGGTTAAAGTGACAGCTGTCAGTAGGCAGCTCCCCTGAAGCATGGCTTTGATCCCTACACGCCTCTCCAAAGGCCCGGCATTCGGGCAGGCCTCCTTTGGACCAAACAGACGTCCCGCCCTGTCAAATCTCAGCCTGACGGCAGTCAGCGTAGCACCATGAATCCCTTTCTTCCGCCGCCCCTAATTAATTGTTTGTACTGGCCGAGGAAGTTTAACAAGCCTCTCACATTCCCCGCGATCTGCTTGACCTTCCAGAGCAAGTGCGCCGTGTGTGTCGATCGGTTCTGGCAAGCGGGTTGTCGATCTAGACGCGCAGCTGCTGACTTGCTGATACACAACCTGAAGACAGATTTGCTTGGTGTTCCTGGTTGAGGTTCAGGTAGTGCACAGTATTAAATTATGGATGCTTCTTCAAGTGCGTCGCCCCCAGATTGCGCTTGTCAGGTACGGGAACTACGACTGCCCATGCTGTTGCTGCCTGCCGATGATGACATCGCATCTTCCAGACGGATCTTCGCTTCAGCCGCTTGGCATTGACAGTTAGGCCCGAGACGGACCCCTATGGTAAGTAGGAGTTCCCCGCAATCCCAGTTTCGAAAGAGGCACTAGACACCAAACCATGATCTGAAAATCCCAAGAAGACCAGAAACGTGACCTTTGTTCACGCTCGCCATGAATACACCCGACATCCCAGTAGCAACAAGCCCCTACAATCTTGAGTCTTGAGTTGCAGGTCTGAGTCGCGGTACTACTGCGACGTTTGCCTCTACGTTCCCAAGTTCAAATACAAGGAGGACGACCAAGAAGTGTTCCTCAGCTTCAAACTTTTCAGCCTGTGGCAGCGCGTCCATGCAGGAGATTGGGCCTTTGCATTCCCTGTTTTGCGGAGGTACATCGTGCATCCGGAGACCTGCTGCGGTGGCGCCTGCATCTCTTGCGACCCCTGCACCGGGAAGGGACTTTGGTACATTCCCTATTACTTCCACCACCCTGAGACCGGCGAGGTGGTCGGTGGAGAATATGGGGATCCCTACACCCCGCAGGTACGGAAGGTGTGGGCAGGTTGGAAGAAGGAGTGTTGCAGCACTGCCGACACCTTCGTGGTCGTGTTCCCGCAACAGGCAACGGTCAGGAGAAAGGCTGGCCTTTTGGGTCTGACCTTCCTAATCGATTTTACTATCTTCGAGGGCCACGACTCCCAAGGCACTTATGCGACGGAGTAGGCGATGAAGGCGTCGCTGATATGGTTCATGCTCACCTTGCTCGCGATTGGGTCTCGGTGCCTAGAGCTGTAGCCCAGGAAGACGATGACTTCGAGGGGCCAAGTTTGAATAAGACTCAAAGCTGTCGACTTGCTTTTTGCTGTAGGTACTTGGACCCATAACCGTGGGCACGGCAAGGTTCCATCAGGAACAGGTCCAGAGCAAGTTGTCAATCTGGCCCACTGCACATGTGGACGCCTAGTGTTCTGGCAAGGGACTATGACCATTTGTGTTGCACGGCTTGTTGTCAAGGTGTGCCCTTTGTTCAGTAGCACCCATTAAGATAGATCCACACCAAAATCCGTGCCAGAATTCGCCTGCGAAAGCCACCTATTAAGCTTCCCAATTCCTCCCGGAACGCTACGCAGCCCACATGTCCTTGAAATTGGCCTTCACGCTGATCTGCCAAGCAGAACGGCTCAGAGGCAGATTCATGAGCCTAACCGCAAGCCAGTAACCAAAATGCTATTGCGTGTGCTGCATGATGCAGCAGTGCACATGCTGTCCTTCGGGCGTGACGAACGCTTTGTCCACAGCCGCAGCTGTTCGCTTCAGGTGTCTATCCAGCCGGTGCTGTTGTTACGCTCCTTACTGTCTTGGTGTTGTTTTCAGCCTCCTGTTTGCCATCGCAACCTGCCCTAGCACAGGGAACATCGAATGTCTCGCCGTAGTAACTCCGGAAGCTGAGCTGAAAACAACCACGACCTCCCCCTGGACTTTCAAGACGACCTGAGAGGTGCTTGCCTCTTCACGCTACAGGAGCTGATCAAAGCTTCGGTGCCTGGGACGCCAATGGGTCTGTCAATTTCGTTATTGCGGATTCGTATGCTGCGGAGCGAAGCCTTGTTGAGTTTCGCTCTTGTGGTTGTGCTGCTGCCGCAAGCTGTCGGCTTTACAGCCATGTTACAAGTCGTCTTGCTTCTGATGCTGGCTTTTCTTCTGGTTAATTAACATCGCTTGACCAAAGCTGTTGTTGGCTTCAGCTACACAGTAGTTATCGCATGGTGACTATGTTTCAACTACCATTAGACATCATAGCTGCTTGGGCTTTGTGATTGTGTTTGCCACGAGTATTTGAAGCGTTCCTGCGAAGGAGCGCACCTGCTTCGACCACCTCCCGCAATTTCTCTGCTGCCACGAGCCACCGAGCATTGGATGCTTCCGCGACGACAAGCATCGAGCGCCTCGGTGCACAGAAACCCAAGATTTCATTGGAGGAAAGGGATCTACGGTGTTTGCCAAGGTTGTCGAGAAGCTCTCATGATGGCTTGAGGAGTTGAATTCTTCTTCAGGTTTCACATCTAGCGCCTTGCCTGGAGGTTTAAGTTAAATAAGGTTTCAGGAGTGGTAACGGGCTAACGCCAGAGGCTCCTGACACATTCAGTCATGGTGTTCGGCAGCGTCAGCCGCAAGTCCAAAGCCGAGCCAGGGTTTCGCGGTATCTACAGCAGAACGATCAAGAACTTGCAGCTATCATGAGAGAGGCTCAGCAAATCCCCGTTGAGATGCAGATGTGCATGTTCCTGTAGTGCCTGCACAGTTACTTGCACGTGTCGGAACTGCTGCTCTTTTGTCATCGTTTTGTACTCTATCTGAAAGCACCATCACATTGTATTCAACTTCCTCGTCCACCTCAGCAGTGAGGACATGTGCTGCAGCGAGGCGGGCTTATGGTGGCAGGGCGATAGCGAAACAAGTGCCAGCTGCTGTCCCCCATTTTGGTGTTGTCTACCGGAATACCGGCTGCCAACTTTCGCTATGCCCTACATCTGGTACCTGACACGGTGCTTAGAGATCAACAACGCACGAAGTCGCGTTCCTTGCGAAAGTTGTGGAATGCTGATGCTTTTTACTGACGAGCGCATAGCCTTGAATTGACCCCGCGAAGTAGGGGATTCGGAGATGCCTTGAGCGATCCTCACGGCATCGTTGCTAGTGTTAAGCTGCGCTACTCCTTTGGAAATTGGTTGGCTAGCCTTCGCAAATAAGGTGTTATAGGGGAAATCCTATCCGACTGGCTTGGAAATGTCGAGATCCTCGAGATCTGGAGTCTGCAAAATTGAAGCATTCAAGCCGGCATTCAACCTTCATGCTTCCATGAGCTGAACTCACAAGTAGCGCAGACAATTATGGAAGGCTGGCCCCAAGCGGTTCTCGGCCGAGAAGGCTTTAACAGAACTGGAGGTAACAAAAACAAAAACAGGCCACTCGAGAAGTGGATAGACTCATGAAGTCTCAGGATCACGTGAATATCGACCATTGACCAGGCCCCGTTCTCCTCTGAGACGCTGACCCAGGACTACCTGCTTGTCCTGGTTACAGGCTTTCAGTCGCGGGGCTGCAAGCCGAGACTATACAGAGTTGCACATGATAACGAACACCCAGGCATCAAGACAGCACAGAAGCACGGAGTGCTTCACACACGGACCCGTCCAAGATTTGATCAAATCAGAATTTCTGTCTGCGAAAAGCTGGAGAGGGTAAAAAGTGAATGTTGCACGGGTTACAAGTAGCACGACCTTTGGTGTTAAGCACGAAAGCTGATCCATCAGCAGCCGCAGCCAGCTGGCTGCAACTGAAACTGCAGTGTGTCAGCAGCAGAGCATGCACCTGAAGCTTGAAACAAGCATGATCAGTTGCCCCCACCTGATAAGTACTTGTAATTACCTCGAGTACACCTATCCTTCGCAACCGCTGCATGCATCCACGCATATACGCCTGCATGTGTGCAAGCACGCAAAGATCTATGGACAGAAACCATGCACAGACAATATGTAGACAAACCTGAAATTTTCGCTGTGATGTCTACAGCGCAGACACATCACAACCCTGGAATGCCACCATCTGAGGGAAGTGCTGCAGCGCAGCTGCCCCTTTGCTGCGGCATTGACCCAGCTTCTACCGTACACTATGGCCCCTTGGAGCACACGATGACTTTGATTGTTTTGAGTTGGAAAGCACAACAGGCTCCTAGGTCGTACTGCTGCCTACTCCTACCACTCTACCACTGCTACGACTACTACTGCTGCTGCTACTTCCTACTACTACCACTGCCACTGCCACTACTGCCGCTGCTGCCACTATGCCACTACTACCACTACTACCACTATTACCTCTACTACTACTACTACTACTACTGCTACTGCTACTGCTACTGCTACTGCTACTGCTACTGCTACTACTACTACTACTACTACTACTACTACTACTACTACTACTACTACTACTACTACGACTACTACTCCGACAACTACTACGACTACTACTACTGCTACTGCTACTGCTACTGCTACTGCTACTGCTACTGCTACTGCTACTACTGCTACTGCTACTACTACTACTACTACTACTACTACTACTACTACTACTACTACTGCTACTGCTACTGCTACTGCTACTGCTACTGCTACTACTACTCTGGGGTCAAGACAGCTGACGTCTTGTCCCCACTCACTCGACTCACGCATTCATCCATTCTTCGATTACTTAGGATAGTCATTAGTTGTTCTCCCTGTTTGAAGTTTGGAGGAGTGTGAGCTGTAGTAGCCGAAGTGACATGTCGCCTGCAGCGCGGAATCGCAAGAGTCCGACAAGTGGGAGCCAAAACTACTACTACTACTACGACTACTACTACTCCGACTACTACCACGACTACTACTACTACTACTACTACTACTACTACTACTACTACTACTACTACTACTACTACTACTACTGCTCGTGCTACTACGACGACTACTACTACTACTACTACTACTGCTACTGCTACTGCTACTGGTACTACTACTACTACTACTACTACTACTACTACTCCCACTCCCACTCCCACCCCCACCCCCACCCCCACCCCCACCCCCACCCCCACCCCCACCCCTACTACTGATGCTACGACTACGACTACTTCTTCTGCTTCTGCTGCCACAGCTGCTGTTGCTACAGCCTCTTCTACTGCTACTGCTGCTGCTGCTACAATTTCCGCACGACTGGCTGCCTTACTCTTGTACGTTTGATGTGACTTTCAAAACTTGTTGTATTCTCGTTTGGCCCTTGCCATTGGCAGTTCGTGCCTGTCTGTCGGACCTCGCTCTTGTTGTCTTAGTAGCCTTGTTGCAGATGTCGCGATACTAGCCTGAGTCTCACTACTGCTTCAACTATGCTTTGTCTTCATTAACTGTGCTGAGCCTTGTGGCATGTGGCATTGAGATGCTAAGTATTATGATTGAAGCTGAAACGGCTGAAGGGAGACAGGCGCCCCCCAGAAAATCGCAGTACCACTGCATCGTGGAATCACAAGTACAAATGTGACTATTTGTGACCGCATCAAACTATACGATAACGGCAGCAACAGTGGCAAGGGTGGCAAGACTAGTAACAACTGCTCGTCCTCTTGTAGCACAAAGTGGTCTCCCACGCTCAGGAAAACCTTGACCTGAAGATCCAGGTCCTGGTACACGAGATGACCCCGATTGCCTTCACACCCAGATGGGACATGATGGGACCAGGGGTCAAGCTGCAGGATTGCGGCCTTCCGGTGAAACCCAAATCTACTGTGAAAAACTACAGTCACGATCTCGGCTTGTTTCTGGGTTGCGCATGGTTGAGGTGGAAAGCTCTTGACGAAAACCCCGCTAGCCTTGGCACGCGAATCATTTCCGATGGCAAAGCATTGCTTTCCTGCGTGTTCCATTGTGTTTCCCGGGGTCTTAGTGTCTCTCGATGTTATTCACTCACCATTGTCCTCATCGATTGCGAATCTAGACCTGGTGCTTCTCTAGCTTGTGCTATTCATGGTGGGCTTAGCAACTTCTGCGTTGTCATGTCTCACACTAAACTATGTATGTATGTATGTATGTACATATGTATGTAGGCGGTATGTACATATAGTATACAGCTTAAATCTGTTTGTTTGTATGTGCGTATGTATGTATGCAGTATGCATCTATCCATGAAAAAAATTGTGTGTGTGTGTGTATTCGCTTCTACATGTTTAGCGCACTCTATGTGTGTGTATATATATATACGCATCTACATATACATGTACAATATGTGTGTGTAGATAGGTAGACAGACAGATAGAAAGATAGAAGGAGAAAAAGACATATATACATATAATATATATATGTACATTTATGTATATATGTATATAAATATGTGTAACGGCGGATGTTGATATGTGTACATATGTATATATACATACATGCGTATATATATATATATATATATATATACATTATGCCTGTTGCACCTATGCGTATAGCGCTTCTTACTTCAGGATTTGTGAGCCGTTGATGGAGGGGCCTTACCTGGCCCTACCTCTTAATTACGTCTTGGAAGTCCTCGGCCCGGGTGGCTTAAGCCGCTTCGGAGCTTATGTCGTCATTGTTGCAACTAGGTTTTTGGTCTCTCCCCTGGCATTCATGGCTCTGGGATAGCAACCTGTCTTCGGGGCTCCGTTAGTGCGACGTTTCAACCCAAGGCCCGGGCGATGAGCCACGCAGGCGCCGAATGGAGCAATCTGCTTGCGAGCCTCGGCAGAAAGTTGGAGGTCTTGAAGACAGCAGGCGGGGTAGATAGTCACGACACGAAGCACACGGAAATTCGTATGTGTAGCATACATCATGGTAGTGGTGCTCGGAGTGATCAGGAGCTTGAATGTAGGTATATGGATTACGACACACGCGATCCAGACCAAGAGAAAAGCAGTCAGCAGTATAGGTTGTAGTGCTTTTCCAGTACGGTACTCGTATTGCTCGGTTACAACTATTGCTGAACTTGTGTGCTGTTGCAGCGGTTGGTATTATGGCGGCGCTTTCGGTGTCTTCAGTCTTGCGCCGGGCTTTGATTGATTGAGGCTGCACACCTCGTCGGAGTCTACAAGGATCCGCTAATCATGCTAATCATTGCACTGAAGTCACGTTTTCTCTGGGCCTAGGAGTGAATGGCCCGTCTTTGGCATCCTGAACCGTGTTCGGGAGATGCGTGGCATGGCCAGGTGTTGCGACCATCACAGACGGATAGAGACGGTTCTGTTGCTTCTGATTCTTGGCGCTCGTCTTACATCGGAACAGACTTTGATTTGGAAGAACTTCCATGCACTAAGTCAAGGCTTTAGATTCTGGGGCCCCGTGATGCCCCATGTCTAGGGACGGCTGATTCAAGCCTCCAACCAAGGTTTCGGACATGGTGCATAGGGAGTTGCAAGCTAAGGCCCGGTATGCGGAGTTCAGAGACCTAGCAGCACCCCCAAGCTTTGCACACCACGAAAAATTGTTGAATCATCATATGACAGACCCTGTGTAGTGGTTTTCATGACAGCAAGACATAGTCAAGCGGCTTCTTTCTGTGGGTGTACTTTTTTGTGTCGGGCTGTACGAATAATTTGGACATGCAGCAAACCGTACCATTTTGGAACACACGCGGCTCGAGCATGAGACAGAAATTGCAATCCAAAGCAAACCGAGTTCACAAGCACATGGCGCAGGACCATTCCCAAACCACCAGCCTCTTTTTCCCACAAACCATCTAGCCAATTAGTGTACATGATGGCTTGCGGCCGCTTGCACTAAGCAACCGCGACATGAAACGAAACGAACAACACAAGCATAAATATGCCCCATGGCAATGACATGGGGTGAAATCAGAGGAGAGATGCAACCTCCAAAAGCTAACCACGTCACGCGGCTTGGTGTGCATAGTTCATGCACGCCTGTGGTTCTCGACATAAGTGCATCGGCAACTGCACTGTCTTTGCGAGCCCTGGGCCCAGGTGTCACGTCGCCCACAGCCGACACGTACTATGCCAGCCTGGCCAAGGATGCTGCGCTCTCGCCCGTGATGGTGCCCGGGCTTTTAGCTTTGTCCTCATATAGAAGAAGCTGACCATCTATTCATATCTTGCATACAAAGCCATATAGACAGATGCATGGATAGGCGGGTAGGCAGGTACATAGGTAGCTCGCTGGCTAGTTAGCTACGTCGGTAGGTAGGTCGTAGGTAGCTAGGTACGTAGATGGCGCAGAAGTATGAAGGTAGCACGTAGATAGATAGATAGATAGCTGGATAGGCCGATGGACAGGCGGATGCTCTCAAAGATAAGACGTTGAGTGGCAATACCAACAGTATGTACCTACAAACGAAAATGTACACACATACATACATGCATGCATGCATGCATACATGCATACATACATGCGTCCATGCATACATGCATATCACACATACACACACTTGCAAATACATAGTTGCAAACGCGTGTGACTGCGTGAGGTGGGATGCTGTCGGGCTTTTGGTTCAGGCCTTGGCTCAGCTCAACGCCTCTGACTGTATGATGCGAGCCACAGCCAGGCCTGAGACTTTCGAAGCTTGGGGAAGTTACAAAGTCATGCAGACCTAGTTGTCGATGGTTGTTTTATGGTTTTGAAAAGTCATAGAGTAGAGCACTGTTTGGGAGTTAGGAAGTCGCGCCGTTGGTACTATCATGATTTTGGTCACTGTGGTGATGAAGTTGATGGGGCTCCGGCCCCAATGCTGGGCTGAGGGTTTTAAGCTTGTTTCTGGCAGGACTTCTGTCCATTCAACCGTTCAGAATGTGTTGAAGAATAATGAATAGTTCATCTGAGCGTCTTCGAAGAGATACCCGACAAGTCTTGTGCGTCTTTCCCTATGTCCCCGAAAACTCTGCTCTACTTTCAGGGCACGGTTTTCCTGCCTTGAAGGCCCCGGGCAATCATCGCACATGAGAGCTCTGAATTCAAAGCACCGGTGCGAAAGTCCTAAAGCTGAGCGTTTGGCATCTCGAGGTCTAGATGCGCAGTGAACCCTGGCCACTCTCGGCTTAGCAAGAGCATGCAACAAACAAAGACGTGCATGCTCACATCGGCCGGCCATAGCCGCGGCCCAAAGAAGACTTCCACACCGAATCTAAACAACGGAGTCAACGGAGGCTTCACTTGGCGCTTCTGGCCGACTTTGCCCCCAGCTTCCTCAAGTCGCCAGCTGCCCCTTGGATGGAGGGCTTTGGAAGGCGGCGCCTGAGGGCTTGTTCTGATAATTGCTAGACTAGTGACTAGTAATAGTGAAGAGGCACACGCCAAGAAGTCTCCAGGCATTGTTGCGCAAGCCGAGGCCAAGTTGGTAGATGATGCAGAGGGCCAGGCCGTGAAATGCGTGCGAAAGCTGCATCCGCGCCTCAAAGAGTCCCTCGGCTACAATCAGGATTTCGGTTGGGGACCGGACATTGAAGCTTGCGCGCAACTCCTGTATGGACGCGGCAGCAGGTCCGTACCGGCAGTTCGGGCACTTTCAAAAGTGCTGCAGATCAAAATCGATTTTCTTCGATTAGGAGGACTCGCGGGGTGTGCGAATGTTCCCCTGCCGCTCGCAGCAGCGGCTTCCATCGCAGGCTTGAGTACCCCCTATCCTACAAGCGCGAGGGCGTGTGCCGGTTCGCCGGAGCCATTTGGGCTCGAGCAGTTCAAGGGGCTGTAAAGGGCCAGATCCATCAGGCACTCGTCCTGATTCGTCCCCTGAACCCAGGAAGCCCGAATTCGAAGCCCTTGCAAGCAAACGGTCAGTTGCCCCTACCCCCGATACCTACAAGCGATGTACAGCCTCTCAGCAAGTAGTCCGTGAAGGAGTTAAACAACGAAATCGGCAAAGTCCTGTCACAGCCCCGTATATCATGGCGGCACCTGCCAGACGCCGCTCGACAATCTGGTGACTGTGGCAGCATTTGCCAAAAGCGAGAAAGACACTGCAACTCTCGAGTGACATGTTTATGCTCAAGCTAGTTCTGACCACGGGAGCCAGGGCAATACTTCTATTCTGGTCTTCTGTCTTTCAAAAGATATAAACACAGAGGGCTTTGGCCACTCAACCCTGATTGGAGTTTCCATGGGCCCCAGATCTTACGGACAGGTGTTGGCTCCTGGCCTCAGCTGTGCTCTTCGGCCAAGCCTCTGCGCAGGTTTCGACGTCGCTTTGCGGTTTTTAGGTTTCACCATGTTTAACATGCAGCTTTCGAGGTTGTGGGATGTACGGTCAGGGCTTCAGGCTCTTTAGTCTTCACTAGAAAGGCACATGTGGGTCTAGCGTTGTAGTTTCTGGCTGAGGTATTTTGTGCTACTATGGGCTGGCTTTCAGCGTTGTGAGCTTCGGAGTTTTATGGGGCCTTCGGGTTCCAAATTCTGGATGCTTTCGGGTTTTGGGTTGGCTCTTTGGTTGGGATTAGGGGTCATTGAACCAGCCGAAACTGCCGAAACTAAGACTAAGAACAGCTTGACACTACTTGTACCAGGTTAGTGTAAGGGAAGTGTTACTTGGAACATGCATGGGCGGGTGTTGGGGTTAGCATATAGATGAGTAAGTTGATAAGTAACTTGTGTGATTTATGTTAACACTTATTGAAGTTATGTAACTGCACTTAGTGGAGTTAGTAAGTACGTCAAGTCCGATATTCACATGATGGCTGTTTGGTTTATATCGTAGTATAATTAGATCAAAATAGTAAGGAGCCCACAAAGCCTGCATCGATACTCTTTCTCATGCGAAAGAGAACCCGGAGGCCGTGCCTGCCCTGTGCAACAGCACAAGTGCTACGAGCCTCGGCGCAAGGGTCTTTCAGGTATCTCTGTGGTATCATAGCTCTACTGATACCTGGGATCCAACAACCCTAAATTTTTCGGGGGGATACCACATAATTGAGGGGTCATAATTCTAGGATTCTAGGGGCTATACCCTATCAACACGGGATCATAACAAACTATGTTGTAGGCTTTGGGGAGCAACATGTAACACATGTTGCTAACATGTCATCACCGCAGAAACACCTGCCTGGCGGTGCAAGTCAATCGTTCCTACCCAGAAAGCCCAGAAGCGACTGTTAGTATGGGGGTGGCCTGTCAATATCTGCCAACGTTCGTGGACGAGATGCTCATGGTTAGTTTTGCTTTTTGCAATGCAGGCACAGAGATCGTTACCTCTCCGTTGCTTTGCATGAGTCGGCGCTGCGGCATGCAGCTTGAATATGCGAACATGCTTTCACGCCTTTGCACGGATCGTAAGAGCCGAGGAACGTAGCTGAGCATGAAGGCAACGTGGCCGTCCAGGCCATGCTTCCCATCTCGGTGGCCTTCGTGTTCCTGGTTGCAGTGGCAAATCCAAAACCTCAAAGGCTTCGGCCGAGTGTGAGTGTTTAAAGAAAGGCCGAATGTCGCTACTCGGGCCGGACGCGCAGCACACTTCTGGGTTTTATGATGCTTTTCGAGACAGGAGCTGAGACCCCAGAAGCTTGTGCTCTTGAGGTTCTGCTTGATGCTGTCCTCCTCCATGGAGTCCTTCAACATCACCTTCCTCCCAGAGTCAGCAGTCGTGATTCTCGTTGGTGTCTTGGCCAAGCAGCTGATGCTGTTGATAACGGCGGTAGGATCTTGATAAACATCAAGTCGTGACAAACTCCAAGCAGAAATGTGATCAGAATTGTCGACACGACTCCGTCGTGAGGCCATTGGGCCAATGATTAGAATGGTTGCTAGAGGCTGAAGAACGTGCACCAGTTCTACTTGCAATAGCAGTAGCAACAGCGACAGGAACAGTAGTGGTCGGAATAACTAGTCGTGTAGATGGCAGTTCTGAAGTAGCTCTAGTCGTAGTGGTAGCCATCATGCTATCAGAACCATAGCGAAGCTAAAATATAGTGTGGTACAAGACAAGAGACAGAGATGAAGGGTTGGAATGATACTAAGAATACCATCCCTCTCAAACATGGTGCTACCATGTCGTTTGCTGTGTGGCCCTGGACCGTCATTAGCAATGGAAATGTGTTGTCTTGATGAATAAGCTCCCTGACCCCTCCCCCTCCCCCGCAGACTGTGGTGCACAAGATGTCGAATTCCGAGTCTTGGCACAAGTAAACCGACAGGCCTAGCAGCACCCAGAACACTCTGCGAGCACAAGGCACAAAGTCCTCGAAACTCTCGACCGCCCCAAAACTGTCAGACCCCACAGTGTCCTTCGAAGGCAGAAACCCCGAGATCCAAGAAGTGAAACCAGGCCTGGGTCTCGGTGGCATCTTCATGTGCCACTTCGGGGAAGCCGGCTTTGGAACTGGGCCGCTGGCCGGGAATGGCGGGCCGAGTGTTGGGTTTATGCGTTCCAGTCACACCGATAACAAGCAGGCCATGGTCTCTATGAGCCTGTCACGGGGTTTTTCCAGATGACAACGGCAGTAGAAGAGCGCATGGATGGCCCGACGTTTCTGAGACTCTTCATGATAAGCCTTTCGATTAACAGCCGCCACAGTATAGAACTGTCACAGAGTAGCACATAATCAAACGTGATGAAACGTGACGGCGACGGCTCAAGCCACCAGCCCAGCATAGCCCATCAGGAACCCGGCTCGCCGCCATCAGTCTCAGCCCGAGGTTTCCGACAGCATGTGCATTGCACAGGTCGAAGACCGGATTCAGGAAGTCAAGGACAGTTCGGAGATGGAGAGCGATGTCTCGACGTGCGTCGTAAGCGAGGACTTCTCTACGGACTCGGAGAAGCAGACCGCTGGCCGACGCCTTTCCATGTTCAGCCGTGGAGCAGTCCTGCCCACAGCCGTTTGCCTTACCAAGTCTGCTTTTGGAGCAGGACTTTTGACCATCGCAGGCCACACGGCGGAAGTGGGCATTGTTTTCCAAACTTTCGCGCTCATCGGAGGAGCCGTTCTTACCCTGGTCAGCATTTGCTTTATCGCTACGGCCTGCATCGCAACAGGCCGCTACAGCTACGAGGACATGTGCGATGACTTGCTCCACCCTGTGATGGCCCTCTTCACCGGCTTCGTAAACACTCTGGCCTGCATTGGTTCTGCAATTAGCTACCTCATCATTTGCGGCCAACTCTTTGGCGTGGTCACTGGTGCATCAGACTCTCACTGTAAGCTGTTTATCGTGCTCACGGGCGTCTTGGTTTGTGCTCCGCTTGCCATTGCCAGGCATGTTAGCTGCTTGCGGCACCTGGCTGCAGGGAGCATCGCCGCGCTTCTCATCTTGGTCGCTTGCGTCATGTGGTACTATGCCGAGCACGGAGCAGATGAAGACGATGTGTTTTTCGCCTCCAAGGCCACGGCGGTCACCTACATGTCAAGCGTTAACAATGTTGTCTTCGCCTACAACAATCAGTTCAATGTGCCTCAACTTACTGGGGAGCTGAAACCGCCAACGACCATGCGTATGCACATGGCGGCCGTCATCTGCCTGGTCGTGTGCTTTGCGGTTTACATCTCGACGTCTGTGTTCGGGGTGCTGGCCTTCGGCATTGGAGATCAGCAGAAAGAGTCCCTGGTGAACTCCTTGAAGCCCGTTGGACGCAACCCGTTTGTGCTGGTGACCATGGTAGGCCTGATCTTCAGCCTGCTCACATGCTTCCAGTTCCATGTCTACCCGGTGCGTCAGTTCGCTGCTTATCTGGTGCGACGCGTCCGCAAGCGTGAGGCCAATACCGAGGAGGAGGACAAGGTCATTTGGGGCCACACGGTGACTAGGTGGTTCGATATCTTCTTCGCTCTCTTCAGCGTTGCTCTGATAAGTTTCATTGCGGTGGTCGTCAAAGACCTGAGGACGGTGCTTCAGTTTGTGGGGTCCTTTGCAGCCTACGTTGCCTTCATCGTGCCGCCCATTTGGCTCCTCACAATCCGACGCCGCTCTCCGAGCTTCCGCTGGTGCAAGGCTGAGACCCAGATCTGTTTGCTGGTGCTCTCCTTGGGCATCTTCCTCTTTGCATTCGGCATCTATACAGCGGTGTCGTCCGTGTAAGGCCTGGCGGTGCCAACCGTGCTTCTTTTGTGGGAGCCGATGCTGTCCGGTGTGCTGGGGCTTTGTGGCATTCTTAAGCTCGCAGCGCATCTGCGCGTGCAGTGGCCCCGAAATATTTAAGATAAAGGCGCTGCTGTACAGAGCATGCTGCCTGAGCTGGAAGGAGTCCAACTCTTGGTATCTCCAGGCGCGAAGCAGTCGCCCGGACCTTTGCCGAGGGGCTCAGGTGCATATTGTCTAGCTGCCTTTTAAATGGCAGGAGTTCAGGCGTCTCATGGAGCAAGGCCGCAGCGCGCTTGCCAACACTGTGAGGCGCAGCCAAAGGCACGTCCAGTCTCTCTCGACTCTCGACCTCCTGTCTAAAAATACTTGATTTTTGGTTGTGAATTGTATGTCCGGCATCGAGACTGTTCTGTGCCACACGTCGTCAGTGCACTTTACATGGAGCACTGATGTCGAGAGCTTGGCCGCTCTACACTGTACACTCATGTCTCCCGCGGCATCAGCATGTCGCCGGCAAGAGCCTGCAAATCAGACATGCACGAGCGCAGCGGAGTATGAGAAAATGCAGATTTCGGTTCTGCTCTTCAGCTTATGTTTTTAATGTTGAGGTGCAGACTATGTATTCTGACCTGGCGTGGTCTCGTTGGCCGCCAGTATAGCCCCATCGTTGGAACCAATCGTTCG